ATGGAGGGTGTGCGCGCGTGTTTGAGAGCGACATAGGCCACGTTGGCCCGCCAGCCACTCCCACCGTGACGCACCTCGCCAACTACCCCCCCCCCCCCCCATGAACCTTCTCCCTCCACACTAAAGCATCGATTTACATTCCAAAATTGCGTTACGCTAAAGGCGTGTGCGCAATTGGCCAATCGCGTAAGGGGCGAGTGGGTGTGTTATTTTAAGCCTCGCTGAATGGAGGTCTTGGGAGCCAATGGGGGCGTTTTTTCTCACCCAGACATCCGCACTCCAACAGTGAATGAGTCATAAACATGTTTTCATTTTCTTAACACTCGAGCGTTATTTTGAAATGTTTCTCTATATATAAGCCGAAAGATAAAATATGGCAATAATTAACGAAAAGGACTTGTTAAACGAGGTATCTGTAAATGTCACAATAATGTACATTACAATTCAACCAACGATGCTTAGTATATTTTTACAAGATACACGTTTCACTGAACCAAGTACAGTATCTCAAGTTTCAATATATGCCAAGGTGCTGTTGGCTAAAATAAAAGTTACGTAAATAAATAAACATACGTTTTCTTTGGTTCTTTCGGTAAAGTCACGTAGAATGAGAATAAAATAATAAATTGATAAAATAAAATAACATACGTTTTATTTGTGTTATATCACAATGTTACGCGTTTCATTTTTCAAAATTGATGGGAACATTTGTTTTAATTGCCCCATATGACCCTTGAGGTCATGTGAATATCGAAAGGACATTCAGAGGTGTGGGAGAATACGTTAAAGATATATAAAAGTCTTAAGATGCTATTGACACCGACTACCGATGTGCATACACAGTGAGAGAGGAGTGAATTCTGGAACGGCAAAAGCCAAATAAACCCAGGGAAAACACGATTGGAGCCAGATTCCTGATCTGACATGAGACGGTTCTTTAAAAGTGCTACTGCACGTGTAATATAAATAATAGGTTGATACCATATTTAAAAAAATCACTGCAAGACGCCTCTGCATTGGGAAATGCTCGCAGGCGGTGAGAAAAATAAGGTTAAAATTGCTCCACGTTTTGGACAAGGGCCAACAGATTTATCTGTCCTTCGTGAGGAGCTGAGACCCTCGATGTATGGCTATAAGATGATGCTTGCCACTGCAGAGGCGTCTTGCAGTGCTATTTTCATCATGTTTTCTCCCCCTCGTCGTGAGGTATTTTCTGAGGCTGATGCCAATTTCATATAACGTTAATTTGCACTACACTGTAAAACATTAAATGCCGTTTATCCCAAGGGTTTGAAGGTACAATTAATGTATTCGTCACATTTACGACCAAAACAATTTAATTGTTTGTCGGTAGCCGATTAAGTTCTACGCTAAATCTTTAAAATCGTGTATTGTGGTTGGTCAGAAATGCAACTAGGTCTGAACCCTTTTGTTCCACATTACGAGTTTAGAACTGAGCTTTAACTTCTGTTAAAAAATGTTTACATATATGACGCACTTTAGATTATTGTCTGGCCTTGACTGTCTTGTACTGACATGGACCGTATTTTTTTTCAAGTTTAAAAGCGTGACCCTCCATTGGCAAATGGATGTGTTTCGTAATACTACGAGCGAATGGCACTTGCCTCTCTTTCAGTCTGTATTGGAAGAACGACGCTCACATTCGTGTTTTTGCATGTCTGTAAATTCGGTTGATTTGTATTGCAGACACATATATTGACTTTGAATGAGAAGTTATAGGCGTTTAGACAATTTAATAATGCCGATAATAGCACGTTAATATATTAGCACGTGAAATAATAAACATCGTCAATTTGTGTTATTTATTATAAGCGAAAGCAATTATACCGTTAACTTAAAAAATGTATCACTGTTTTTTTTTAGTATGTAACTTGAACAATCTATTAGGATCCGATTCTTTCCGCGGTAGCATTTCCATACATCACATAAAATAAAAACATTTGTTTGCAAGGAAAGTTATTTCACGTAAAAAAAACCTGTCAATAATAGTTGACTTTTTAAACTTTTAAACCGTGATGTATGGCTGTACATATTTCCCCAAGCCTGTGTGTGGTGAGTCGAAAGTGGAGTGGGACAGATGGTCTAAGAGGAGATAATGTTAGGACGTGTCAAAGATAGCACGTATGACTGACTGGTCAGGCGATGTTCTACGCAAGAACAGGTCTGGCTGGAACTGGCGTTGACCGGTTTTCTGGAGCCCCTGAGGCCCCCTCTTGCTCTCCCACAGAGGCAATCCACCGACTGCAGTGCCTTTAGAAGCCCCCCCAGATGCACTGGCGAGAGCAGGGCTTGGCCAACCTGCGGCTCTCCAAGGACTGTTTCGCGACGTTTTTTTTTATTAAGGACTACCGTCTCACATTCACGCGCATTGTGGCTCTTGAAATATTTTTTTGTTTCACCGAATTCGAAGAAAAATGCCGCCTATGGTTATTTTGGTGGCTGACCCCTTGGGCTATAGCTAATCTTCCCATCTATTTGGCCCAATGTAAAGAACAGTTTACTTTGTCGTGAGGGGTGCCTGCGGCCGTTCAACCCCCCCCCCCCATATGTGGACCATATAGTGAACCGCTGTAGCATGCGCTCCTTCGGTGGAGTAACAGCAAAACTACACAAACTCATTGAAGCCCTCTCGTCGTGGCTAGCAGACCTCGACATTGGCATTTAGCTCATGAACATAGTGCTGCTGTACGAAACAATATATTTAGCAGCTTTATCTATCGTCATTTTAGATATTTATCAAATTGCATTGCTGCGCATGAGACACCGTTTGTCTCCATATACATTCGCAGTGGCCACTCCTCCTAATAGACCAGTGGGGGCCGGAGCCTTATTCCTAACAAAAAATGTTGGGGGAAAAAAACATAACGAGTGTCATGAAAATGATGAACTGCATATGACCCCCTGCCTCACCTTGCTTCCCCTCCGCCCCCTCATGCCCCCATCGCCGGCTTCCATACCTCACCAATATATTCGCTGAGCGGCCGCCACTGCATCTTTGCCATTTTGGGTCACCTCCACGCACGTCTGTTTGCGCTCGTTAGACGTGGGCTTCGTTTGCATTTGCTTTCGTCGGCGGTTTGTGGCCAGGAAGGTTGTGTTCACGTGTGAAGTAGGAGACCGGCAAACGTGCTGCCGTGTCGCAATGGCACGGTGAGCGAGAGACACTCCTGGCTGAGTGGATTGAGTTCTATCGTCATCAGTCCTATACTGCGGATGTGTTATCGTGTTACATACTTTGCCAGCTCCCAAGTTCGAAGAATTTGCTTTCCTGCTGACTTGTTGCTGATGGTCCAAATTGTATTTTTTTGCTGATTTGATGAAAACATATATATTTTTTTGTTTGTTTGACTTTTCTCAGAAAAAAAACATGTTGACTGCAATGATCTGTATTTGTTTAGAGTATTTGGCTGCTCTTCATTTCCACGTGATGATAAGCCACTTCGTTGAGCTATCATTTGTGGCCAGGCCGCTTCTGAAAAAAAGAGATGTAAGGCTCAGTGGGTTTTACCTGGTAAGATAAAAAAAAAATTGTAAAAAAAATTGGGTCATGCCCCGTGTAGATAACACTTGAACAGCACCGAGTGTTTATGTAGGCTACTCACAGACCGTCAGAGCACAAACATTTTGCACACTCGACGCAAGCCACTTGAAGTTATGCAGCATATAAGTGTATACTATTACATGTATGGAATTATACACACGTAATCTGCAATATCTGACGTTTAAAAAATATTTCTGCGTCCGTAAAACTTGCATTTTTAAAATGTCTTGTCTTGGAGGCTCCTTAAAAGTTTGAATTACAGAACTTGCTTAACATAGAAGTGAGTGCCAAAAACAATTGGTTTGCATTAGAATCATTTTGGCTGGTTGCATTGAATTAAAGTGTAATTTTCCCTTTGATGATAATTTAAAGCAATATCACTTTAAAGTGGGAGGAAAATGTTGCACTTGACCACACACCAGGCACCAACATCATTTTCTTTTTAATCATCTCATGACAGTCAACCCAATATTTTTTTAAATTCATAATTCTCACAGCTGGAATTTAGCTGAACTATATGAAATCCCACATTTAAGCTTGATTCATTTGTGCAGTCGTTCTTGACTGCGCCAAGATCCTCAACTCGCCACACTTGAGAACCCGGTTTAACCATGGGTGGCTGAAACCCACAGATTTAATTCTATCATCTCGGTGGTGCTGGCTCAGTGCCCTGATCCCTGAGCTCATCGGGGCCACGTCCACTGTTCATCACGATTTGCAGGCAGCCCCAGAGCATTAAAGGGGGGGGGGGGGGGGCTGGAAGAGACCAAGCCCACCCCCCGCAGAGGGCTCCATTCCCTTCCAGATTCTGATTGTCAAGTCAACGAATGTTGGCGCTGACTCACACCAGTGGCCTTTCATCTTCAAAGGCCATTTGTTCCGCGAACACCCATACCTATAAACACACGTGCCTGTGCATATTGTTACTGTGTTGTGTGCCCCCCACTTCCCCCCTGTGAGTTTTGTATAACACCTCCCCCCCCCCCCCCCACGTTAAACAAGGCAATTCTAGTTTAACACGTAGGCATTCGTGACAAATATCATCCATGATAGAGGTTTTTTGAGTGATATCGCGTAAATATATAAACAGGTGGACTTCTCCACAAATATGGCTGTCGCCTGATGAAGCTAGTTGTAATTACTGGCGAAACGTTGTACTCGGATTGTAAATGTTGTGGCTTGGCTCTCCAACACACCGGTTAGTGCTGTACTCGTGACGAATTGGCCACGTTCTGTTTACGTGACAACCCTTACTAGTTGGCTGTGTCGAGTGGTGGCGGATTCAAACGACACATTTATATATTTACGCGATCGAACCCAAACAACTTCCTATTGTGAAAGGTAATTCTACAGGGTTGGTTGCTGCGGTGTCCTCTTAAACTGGATGGATTCAGCCTTAACTGTCAAAAAAAAAAAATTTGCGTGGATTTTTTTGCAGCCACTCCCAAGATGCTTTCGGGCCTACGCAGGGCGGCCGTGGAGACGGCGAGGAAGGCGCGGGTGGCTCCCCCGCGGCCCGCGCCAGTCGCGTCCGTACGCTTCCAGAGTTGGTCTCCGCGGCAGATCAACCCGGACGCCAACTTCCACTCGGCGTCTTTCTCCGAGGAGGATCACCCCCGCGTGCTTATCACCGGTACGGGACGCGTAAGCGAGGGTTTCGAGCGGGGGTCAAAGTTGCCGGCTCCTCGCCCCCACGCGCGCGCCACTCATCCGCGGTCAACCTCCACGAGAGTGATGCGAAGGCGACGTGGGGAGATGTTATTGTTGCATTGCTGTTCGCTTTGTTGCGTTGAATAAAGTGAAAGGTGCATTTTTGCAACCGGTGCATAATCTCCCATCACCTCATTAGATGTTTTAAATAATGCCCCTTTGCCTGTTAATTAGCTTTTTCCCTTAAAACAATGAATGAACGATCCGTTATAATAGTAGTTATTGTTTGAAATATTCAAGAACTCAATTTAATCGCAGGTGGCTGAAACCCACATGTGAATCTAGAACCATCGATTCCTTTTATTTTTGCGGTGAATGGTAGCACCTCCGGTGACAACAAGGGCTTTACATTAATCTAATATATGAATTAACATACACATCTAAATCTGAACATTGGCTCTTGCACACACGATTCAACACGTGAGGTCAAGGCTAAATATGAATGTCAGTGAATCATTCCACCCCGAAAATTTTCCATCGCTCGATATATTTCTACCGATGAGGCGTGAGTGCACAAACTTTAACTTCTCACGCGCTGAGCTAGCCAAGTGGCTACAACTCTAAACGCTGTTTGGCGTCAAATTTTGCACGTGCACATTGGATGCAACGAGACACAGCTCCGTCAGTGAAGATCTTTGGCCGATTGTTCAAGTGGGGTTTTTTTTTTTTTTAAGAAGGAGGTTTACCAGAGCTCCTAGAGTATTTGCTCAACTCTTCCATGCCGGTGAGACATCTATCCACATTTTACCCCACCATATGAGACCTGCCGATCAGCTGACTGGTGTTACTCAGCTGTTTTAAGGACAGAGGCGGTGGCAGGGGGAGGGTTAAGACACTCGCACCGTTGTTGCAACTGCCGTATTGGTAGATTTAATTGGGGGAAGGACAACCATCTAAACACGAAAAACAGGTCTAAATAAATTAAGTTTTCAATCGAGATTTTAAAGTACACAGCTCCACTGGCTTCCTTATAAAATTATATAATATTCATGCTAATTGCATCCCACAAATTTGTACACTTATTATATAGAAGCGACAAATCCTATTCGTAGCAACTACCAAGCAAATGAAGGCCCTCAGAAAATAATAATAAGAATAAACAAATCAAGAAATGGAGCAAAAATAAAAGGCATGAAAAAAGGCATCACAACATAGAGAATTAGTCTATGAAGTGACATCCCAAACTACAATTCAAAATTCTCACACAAGATCTGCAAGTCCAGTGTGCTACCGATTACATCGTGGCAGCACCAAGTGTCGGCATCAGTGATAGAGAAGACCGAGATTTGAATTTGAGCCCTTTAGCAGATGCACCAAAGCAAGTCAGGGCCCAGCAAATCGGGGCACAATGCCCTTGCAACGCGAGGTCTGTGCCAGCTCATTCCGGCTCATGTTGGTGCATGTAAAAAAAAACTAATATGCAAATTGTTCATTAAATAAACAAATTCCAAGCTTGCCTGAGGGATGAACATCTGAAGCCAACTTTAGTTAACTATGCAAGCCTCATATAAGCACAGCTGGCCCTTGCGCCCAAGGGGTGTGCTTATATCCAGCCTAAACTGTATTTTGTGAAATATAATTATGTTTTTCCCACACATTTGTCTTTTCAATTTCGTTCAAAAATAATAGAGATAATTGTAAAAAAAAATCTAAACAAATATTAGTTTTTAAATGCGACTCGTACACCGTTAGATGTTTTTGCTAGACAAAGCAGTTAATGTCACATCTGGCGATAGATGTCGCTTGGATGTGACAGCTGGCGGGTTTAAGTGTGCAGGATGCCTGACTGTCAGGGCTGTCCTGTGTCTTTGCCACGTGTCCTTGGCCACGTCTATTCCACATGTGCCTTCATCGCTTCCATGACGGCAAGCGTGGAATATAGGGTGGCAGGGGTGGCAGTGCAGTAGTGCCACTCATGCCTCGCAGCAAGAAGGGCCCTGGTGGGTTTGGTTTTCTGTGTGGAGTTTGGATGTTCTCTCCCTCTGTTCTGCATGGGTTTCCTCCAGATTCTCCAGTTTCCTGCCATAGCAAACAAAAAAAAACATACAATGTGACTGGTATTGGCCAAACTTTCCAATGCTGAAAAGTTACTCTGCATGATACTCAATTTGGATTACACATAGCAGAAACATTGACCCATACTGCGAAATAACTTGGCAGAACCCTCCTGAACCAAGCATATTAATATTAAATAATGACAGACCGTTTTGATAATTTTGCTTTGGAATTCTTTTCAGATAACCATCACATTTTTTTTATCGCAATGGTTTGCACAATTTTTTTTATCGCAATGGTTTGCACAATTTTTTTTTCCTCCAAGCACATGTGCTATACTTTAAGGATTCCGCCACGTGAAGTGGTTTAACGCGCCGGACCTCAGATCCACAGGTCGGGGCGGCAGTTGAAACTATTTTCTCAAATCCAACCCACCTCTGTCCACCCAACAGTATGACTGGCAGGTTCGTGCCTGACGGGTTAAAGTGTGAGTACCCCCCCCCACCTCTTACAAAATGTCAGGCCAGTGTGGAAGGGTAGGCCCTGTATAGAGGGGCTGCCTAGAACTTTCTACAGTGGAGACATTTCTGCCAGCAGTTGAGTGAGCAAGTAATCGCAGCGATTAACCTTTAGCTTTGCCACCGACACAACGTGCGACAATAACTTTTCTGGAAATATAGCACCGCGATAAGGTTCCTAATTTGCGATACAGCTTCTAAATTTTGAAACGAAGTGACTAATAGATGTGCATTGTTAATATTCTGCAGGTGGCTTGGGCCAGCTCGGCCTTGGCTTCGCAAAACTGCTCAGGTACGCTTGATAACCGGAGAATCTTGCATCATCGTACACATGAGGTTGTCTTTCGCGTGTTTCGGTGCCATATTTCCACCTGCGCACATCCAATGGCAGACGTGGGCCTGCCCTAAAAACACGGCGACTTACTCTCTTTCAGGCAACGATTTGGAAAAAACAATGTCATCCTTTCTGACATCCGGAAGCCACCAAATGACGTGTTTGTTAACGGTGAGAACCATACCACATGTCGACATCCTACACCACGCTCATGGGTTGCCTTTTAGCCGCTGCCGCCGCCGTGGAGTGGACAACACGCCTGCCAGAGGTCAGGAGACGACATATATACACACACACACACAGGAGTCGGATTAAACAAACGCCTCCCTTTAAAAGGTGCTGCATTTGAGACCGTTCCTATCAAAGCTCACTCATGCGTCGGGCTGGCATATGTGCGTGTTTTGTACGGCGTCTTGTGATATCCGGGTGAATTGCGCGTTAGACGTGTACATTATTAGCTGATGAAATTTGGGGGGGGGGGGGGGGCGCAAATTACTCGCCCCTCGCAACAACGTTGAAGAACTAAGGGCGGAATAGACATTTACATTCTTAAATCGACGAGATTAATGGAACAACCAAGAGGCGAGGAGCACGATTGGCTGCGTGTGGTGCGAAACAAGTTCGACATGCATAGATAAATGTTTGACTAGTTTATTCGACGAGACGAAGCGAGCGACCAAGTGTAAAAATCCACAGACATTAGAATCGACTATAATTCCACAGGCTGTCGTCGACAAGACTCAGGCCCACGGCTAAAATAAATATATATTTTTTACGCCCTCTAAATTAACGCCCATTCTCAGAGGACGGTGTGACGACGGGTCAGGTGGATGGGTGATGCTGAGACAATGCGCGTGCATTCGTGGCGTGAAGGTCCTTTCATCTACGCGGACATCCTGGACTACAAGAACCTGCGCGAGATCGTGGTCAACAACCGCATCACGTGGCTCATCCACTACAGCGCCCTGCTCAGCGCCATCGGGGAGGCCAACGTGGTCCTCGCACGCAACGTGAACATCACCGGTAGGTCGCCGCGGCTGCCAGCCTTCACCAACATGTACGTGCGCGTGCGCGTGTGTGTTGAACTTCTTTCGCGTATCGTACAAAGCTAAATGTGCTAATCGTAGGTGCTGGGGAAGGTCAACAATGTTTGCCTGCTGTTTGATTGTTGCACCCGGACTGAATAATCCTTCTAACTTAACGCGAATTTACTTTCTTTAAATAATACGTTTGTCCCGAAAGAAATTGCTCGTAGATTAAACAGAGTTAAGTATTCGATCGTTCTTATTCAGATAAAATTCAAGTTATTTTACACACACACACACAGGCATACAGATACAACAACAATCACGATTCGCTAATAAGTGGTAGTGACATTACCACAGCGCTTTTACCAAGTAAAATTTATAACGATGTGAAGTGTTGGAGGATTTCTAGCAGGAGGGCATGGAACAGACACATTTATTTTAAATGACTGAGATTCAATTAAATGTTTATTGTTCTATGGAAACATCCCCTTTAGCCAGTTACCCAGCTGGTTTGTAATAGAGATCCGAGGTGCATCAGCACAGAACAAGAACCAACGATGCACCATCTGTATTCCCAATCATGACAACTGAAAGAGATGTGCAAAGATCCCCGTGTAGGCTTAACACACTGTAGGGGCAAGAGCTGTTAGTGAGCACCTACGAAGACTGGCACTGTGCACAAGGAGCTTGGTGGCCAGCACTACACCCGGCCGCCTTTGTCTCCCTCGAGATACTTGAGGCTGAGTCGACTTAGGGGAGGCCCAAGAGCAGTTCAGACAATCGTCATTGTTGTTTGCTTTGAGCGGGAATCGAAACTCTGGTTACAGGGTATAAAGCGCAGCGCGCTAACCGCTAACACTACCGCCCCCCAGCAATAGATATATAAAACATGTACACACAAAGATCCCCCATATAGCCTTAACAGACTGTAGGGGGCAAGTGCTGTTAGCGAGCACCTATGAAGGCCGGAACGGTACACGAGGGGGTGGGTGGCCAGCACCACGCCCGACCGCCTTTGTCTCCCTAGTGGCAATGTTTACACACCGCACCAGGTACTCATTTGAGGCTGAGTCGACCTAGGGGAGGCCCGGGACCGGTTCAGATAATCGTCACTGGTGTTGGCCGTGAGCGGGAATCTAACCCGGGTCGCCAGGTTCATAGCGCAGCGTAGCGCTAACCGCTATACTATCGCTCCCCACATGTACACACACACACGCACACGCACGCGCGACCAGCATTAAACCCGTGCACTGATCACCTACCCGGCTGGTTGCTCAGGGCTGCACAATGTGCTGGACATCGCGGCAGAGAATGGACTCAAGCTGTTTGTGCCCAGCACCATCGGGGCCTTCGGCCCGACGTCCCCACGTGAGCACACACCCGACCTGTGTGTGCAGCGCCCGCGGACCATATATGGCGTGTCGAAGGTGCACGCGGAGCTCATGGGAGAGGTGAGTCTGGGCACCCCTACACCGCCCACTCACTGTTCACCGCAGGGGATTTTTAATTGCTCGCACGCTTAAATATGTGAAATTACAGCATCTCGGAGCACCGTGCATCACAAAACGTCTGATAAAACAAAGCGTGGATGGGGAAACGAATGGGGGCATTTTTGAGAATGAAATTCGAAAACTAGGCCAAATGAATGATGGAGAACACTGGACATTGTGGATGATATTTTAGCGCACTGGACTTGCAATGCAGAGGTTACCAGGTCAACTCTATCTCCCAGCGTAGCAGTTAAACCAATGGGCAAGCTTCGTAAACCAACCCACCCGCTGCATCTGTCCAGCCAGCAAGCGAGCCAATCGGCAGGTGGCGTGAGGTGGGGGGTTAAAGTGTGCGCATTCCCACCTCTTTTTGGAGGAGTAGTCCAAAAATAGCCACCAGTGAGGCTCTCAAGAACTCCCTCTCGTGGAGGCCCCTTTTGCCAGCAAGTGGTGTGAGCGAGCAACTGCAGGGTTGCGTCATTACCCTTTACTTCTAGAAAACGGAAATAAAACGATGAATCTGCGCGCACAGCCAACGGAGCGCAGCATCCATAGAAGTCCCGAAACCGATTACGTCTCCGGAAGGAAATCCAATTTCGCAAGACGAGACGAGAGATCAGTCCCAAGTCCGCCATCCATGTTCCCAGCCTCGCCAGTGTCATCCCATTGCACTTCTAAAGTGGAGATTGTATAATGTTGGCTCTCTATCAAGCCTAAGTATGTGTACTGTATCCGCAACTGCTGGGCACCACATGTGCGCTGACTTACATTGCCGTTAATGCACAAAGGCGATGGAGATTTCATTGTCACCCCCAACATTTCCAGTGCTGCCCATTTCACGGCAGTGACGTATTGATCTCAAGCAACATCCAGCGGGAATATGATGCTAAAGTCGATATCTGGAGTAGTTTTAAACACCGTAACCCCATTTAACTTATCATTTTATTCATGGTAATATGAAAGTTGTATTGTGATGATTAGTTCGCTGTGAGCCCGATTTTTTTGTTTTTTTTTACCATAGGCAGTCTGCTACTTGCTTAACCACAGGTTATCTTCCCATCCAGTACTACCATCACAAATACGGACTGGACTTCCGCAGTCTGCGCTACCCAGGCATCATCTCGGCAGACACCCAGCCTGGAGGAGGCACTACTGGTATAAGCAAATGCCTAGACGTCGCATACTCACACCTACAAATGCTCCCCATATCTAGCCCAGCTTATCATGGGGTCTAATTCTAGATTTGAAGTTTTTGTGACTTGCAAGGATTCATACTCTTTGGTTTTTTCGGTGAAGTCACGTAGGTAAAAAAATTAAAATAAATTAAATCACGGCGTTTCGGGCGCAACACAGTCTAGTTGACAGGACCACACCGACGCTAAGTGCCCATTTAAGGCTGAAATGTCTTCGGGGAGATGCCCAGGACTGTTTCAAGAATCATCAACCGCTGAGATCAGGAATCGTGCACAAGTTACTAGGTATCGGAGCACAGTGAAATGCGTTAACTAGCGGGCAACCGCTCCCCGTCCCGTGCGCGCACGTTGCAGACTACGCCGTGCAGATCTTCCACGACGCCGTGAAGTCGGGCTCCTTCGAGTGCTTCCTGCAGCCCGAGACTCGGCTGCCCATGATGTACGTGGACGACTGCCTGCGAGCCACGCTCGAGTTCCTCGAGACGCCCGGCGACTCCCTGTCCATGCGCACCTACAACATCGGCGCCATGAGCTTTTGCCCTGAGGAGCTGGTGGCTGAGGTGCGCAAACACGTGCCTCACCTGCACGTGGAGTACAAGCCCGACACCACGCGTCAGGCCATCGGTGAGCATTTCTTCTCTCAAGCTCTCTTCTCCATGCACCACTGCAGGCATTTCTAGGAGTTGATGAGGAATCCCACCAAGTCTCCACCCTAACTACATCTTGTCTAGGTTGTCCTGGTTATCCTGTTGGTTGGATAGTTGCTGTCTGGTCAAAACCTCTGTTTCTGATTAATTGTTTGACTCGGGCATGTCTATGTATGCCCGTTTGCCTGTCTGGGCCTCTCCCTCTAACTAAGGTTGGACAGGTGATAGAGCTAATACATGCTTTCAGCTACAGTTGAAAGCATGTATGTATTAGCCATGTCCGTTTGTAATGGTATGTATTTTAACTCTCATACACAAACCGACAATGTCATCCAATGTGAATTAACTTCTAGTATAAAGTTGTGTTGCTCCAAGGGACTTGCCCTATTGAAAACCGGCCACATTGATCAAAGGGTTTGGCCAAAAATTGGAGACGAAACCACAGAAAATATGAGAATTGGCAATTATGTGCCAAATGTATTTTATGCTTCCATACTGCAAATTAAACACTGCTAAATACTGGTACTGCAACTTAAATAATGAAGACAAATGTGTGTGTTATGATTGGTATGTGTTTGCATGCGATGGGGTTAATGTGATCCCTCAAGCTCCAGTTGCAAGCTACTTTTGAGCACCTTCAGCACCGACTTGTTGTATAAAACACTCTCTCTCCGGTGCCATTGCAAATGTTAAAAGTATGGGTCCCGTACGTATCACAAAATGGCCTGGCGAGTTTTTAGACTTCAATTTACCAAAAGTTAAGCCTTAAATATACGTACAATGTTGTTCCGAATCAATGCATCGATTTCGCCTTGATCCTGGAGTTATTGAGGAACATGATCTGGCAATGTTGCAATAAATGGTGTTTGGACACTGCCCCCATTCCCCCCCCCCCAAAAAACAACCATCACAAATTCTGGCACGATAAACCCAACTGAACACAAACAGTTCACAATGTGAGATTATGAGCTTCAGGATCGTACAGGGGAGTGCGTTTCCTTGAGAATTTGTGGAGGACGTATATATATCGCTCATTATTAAAGCACCACACTGGGATGCTCGCATTGAATCGCCTGCAGATTTGAACCATTGTATTGACAAAATGCTCGGTGATCAAGTGACGTTTGTGTTTACTTGTCAAAGCTTGCATTTGGTCATGCGCCGGTTTATTATGGTTGTCCCATATCTGTGTGGGTAGCGGTGGTGCAGTTTTTTTTATCATCGCACTTGGTTCACGGTTGTGGATAACATCCGCGACATGTGCCGGGCTTCCCCTATGTTGGCTCAGCCTTAATTTCTTGGTTCCGGCGTGGGAACGCCGAGGTTGTTGATGCGTGTGGTGCTGGCCATGCAATCGCTCGCAGTTCCCGTGCTGGCTTTAATCAGTGCCCAGTGCCCACTGACACGCAGCACTCGCCCCAACGCGTTGTGGCACTAAATTGGGTTTTTATCATTGTGTGTGCGTCCGCGTGTGTGTGTTGGTGGGGAGCGGTAGTGTAGCAGTTAGCACGCTGCCCTACTTACCCGGGAACCCGAGTTTGATTCCCGCTCGCGGCCAAACACCAAGTGGCCAACACCACTGTAACAATTTTTTCCTCCTGGGTAGTGTTATTTTCCAATTGCTTATGCCTCAAAAGTACAGAAAATGGATTTTATTCCCAACAAACTTTGCTTTTGTGATATTTTGAAATGTACCTATTTTTCAATGAGGAAACGTGTACATTTGTGTCATTCCTTCACATAAAGTCCTGGCCATAAAAGCAAAGTTTGTGGGAAATAATACTAGCCATTTTCTATACTTTTGAGGCATAAGCAATTAGAAAATAACACTTACTACCCAGGAACAAAAATTGTGTTGCATAGTGTTATCTCAATTGGCCCCTGGGCCTCCCCTAGGTCGACTCATCCTCAAATGAGTACCTGGTACGGTGTGTAAACATTTCCACTTGGGAGACAAAGGCGGCTGGGCATGGTTCTGACCACCCACCCCCTCGTGTGTCGTGCCGAGCCTTCATAGGTGCTCGCTAACAGCGCTTGCCCCAACAGTTTGTTAATGCTATATGTTTTTTTTGGGGGGGGGGTCTTTGTATTTGTGTGTTGACCTCTGAGCAGCGGACAGCTGGCCCATGAGCTTCGACGACAGTAACGCCCGGCAAGACTGGGGCTGGAAGCACGACGTGGACCTGCCCGAGTTGGTCTCCACGATGATGGCGATGTTGGGCGGCGAGCATCAGCGTGCAGTTGCCGAAGCCAACTAACCACCACCCCCGCAACTACTCCTCCACCCCTCCCAAGCACCTTGCAGACGGGAACCTCCGTCTTGTGTCCAGCATTCCAATTGTAACGTCTTTGTTTTTTAAATGCGGTGTTGTCCCGTTGACCGTTTTCATGTCGCACTCATCTACCGCCCGATGGATAGGCCCATTGGCAATAATAGTTCACAATGGTATCCTTTGTTTGAAACAGGAAATTAAATATAGGCCCATTGAGACTTGCATCGTCTCTTTTCAAAGGGTAATAATGTAATGTAGAATGCAGCAGAATAAAAAAAAAACACAACTCGATAGAACATTTTCCTTGGTAGCCTATTGATGATGGTGACAATGGTGTAACCGGGAATAGCAACATTTAATACATATTGACAACATTGTACACCTCATCCACCACCTGGAATTAAGAGCTGACACTCGTGTATCCGGTGTTTGAACGTTCTTCCCAGGTTAGCACTGATTTGTGGCACGGAAGACATTGCTACACTGCACAGTCGGGTGCAGCAGAGTTATCTGGATCGATATGGTGGATTTGTGGTAAGGAAATTATATGAATGTTAAAAGCTAAGAATCCATAGTAATTCGGTTGTCGGAGAGGCCTTTGCTTGCAACATTATACTATGCGGAAAGTTGAACACATTGAGCCCATTTCGTGCTTGAATTGCGCTACGGAATTTATTTTGGTAAGATGAACTTGTGCAAACGTGATTTTCATGAAATGTATAGCTGCCTTCAGGTGGCAGGCTTCAAGAAAGTTTGCACTACTCTGCATTTGCCGCTAACGGTTGCGTTGTTGATGACGGTTCAATAAATCGGTGGCCATTGTTGTAACCTCAACTAGAGTGGTCACCACATGCTTGTCGCGAAGTGGCTCTATAGAAGCTGGATGTAATCACACCCCTTGGGAGTAAGTCCAGCGGTGCTTTTATCCGGAGCAGCTTGCATGTATCAGAAGGTGCCCTTCTCTCCCTCGCGAGTGTAACGTAAGCACGCGCTGCCTTGTCAAGGCTGTGCTTATACAAGGTGTGATGCATTGCTTTCACAGGATGAGGTATCATCTTGCATGGCACTCATCCGGCATTTGGGGAAAAGAATTCTGATCATGAGGTTGCGTGCGTGGCTCGATGCAAGGGCAATATTTTCAATGTGATTCGCGTGTTTTGAATGGGTACGACTGACGTTTCTAAATAATAGACTTTCCTAAAAGCGCATTTGTTTCCACATCACCTTCATGGCTCGCGGTATCGCGTCACAGTTTTTTTTTTTGCAAGGAAGGCAATGTGGTAAGGCGTGCGTGTCGGCGATTCGCAAACTACGGATGTCACGATGACCCGTGAAGTGAGAGCGGCTGTGACGGCACTGGGGAATCGTCCAGTCCATCTACCGCCCGCGCCGGTGAAAATGGAACCACCTGGACTGGAAACACATGAGACAGGCATATGAACTGGAGAAAGTATAAAATAATATATAGCAGAGCTCATGTCTTTGGAAGGGAAAATAATCACAGAATAGGTGGTTTAATTTAATACGGAGTAAATCGGTGGGTTATTACCATTTGTTAATAATAGGAATAGTTGATTGAACATGACATAGTCGTCGAGAGTGCTCATTAAAGTAAAACTAATATTTGAATGCTGTTAGTGCTCTATCATATTTGCACATATGGGTGACATTAACGTTTTAAAACTAAACTATTTTACCAGGTAAGGCCCACTGAGCTATGTAGTTTTTTTTTCAGAAGCGACCTGGCCACAAATGATAGCTCAACAAAGTGGCTTATCATCATGTGGAAATGTATAGCAGCCAAATACGTCTAAGCCAGTGGTTCTTAAACTGGGGTGCGAGATGCCGTTTTTTTTCTGAGAACCTGCAGCAAAGGTTAAGAACCACTCCTTTAAACGCATGCTTTTAAATATGGAGGGGAAAAAAATCGGACGATCCATGCGACCATGGGGAAAGAGACACGCAAACTCCAAATATACAAACGTCAAGGTCGGGATCGAGCCCGCGACCTCCCGTGTACCGGGACTCCATGGAGTTGGGCATAGGGAAGAAGTGGTTGGTCGGTGGCAGAGGTCACACCGCGCATCGGCAACTAACGAGCAAGGAAGCAGCATTTGTCAACTCGGAGACACTCTTCAAGGTATTCACTTTCTTGGTTCTTTCGGTAAAGTCACGTAGAAGGGAAACAATAAAATAATAAAAATATAAAACAATAAAATTATCACGACGTTTCGACTGCAACACAAGCAATCGTCATCAGGTGTGAAAAGCACAGCAAGAAAATTTGAAAAAAGTGGCGGGTTTTTTTAACGTTAGCACCACGGAGAGCGATTTGGCAGTTATTCAGATGGACGGGTCCATCTATTTTTTTTTAAAGCTTTCGTGACTGCAGTGATTCATATTCTTGGTTCTTTCGGTAAAGTCACGTTGAAGGGAAACAATGAAATATATATATTTAATCATTATATATTTTATTATTTTATTGTTTCCCTTCAACGTGACTTTACCGAAAGAACCAGGAATATGAGTCCATCTATGCTCGGAAAAGAGGAGGGGGGAGACGAAAATAATGGATGCGGTCTGAAAGCCACCGTAAGCGTGAACAATCAATTAAGACCCGAAATGGTTTATCAAATCCTTCCAATGATTGCTAAGCCAGAATCCTTCTCGGTTTAAATTGTCTCTGTGTTTGTATATGTGGATAGCCTCATGAACGAATCTCTCATGGTAGCCAGATGGCTTGCAAATAACCTCTGTCTTGGAGAAGTCAATGTCATGTGAGCCTACTGAATTATAACAGTGATCTGCCACGGCCGAGGTGTTGATCCTACCGTGTTTTAGGTCTGCTTTGTGTTCACGAATGCGGTCCGAGACGTCGTTTGGTTTTTCCAATGTAACTACTACCACAGAGGCAACTTCGTTTGTAGACGCCAGGGTACTGTATGTCCGGAACAGCATCTTTTACAGATGGAACTAAATCACGGATTTTATGTACTGTGTTGAATCGGACCTGGATCTTGTGTTTATTCAAGATTTTAGAGATCTTTTTTGTGATCCCCGCAATGTAGGGTAAAGTGATGGTTTTGAAAGGCTCCTCAAGAGGGTCCTTCTTCATGGTTGAAGTGATAGCTTTGCGGATTGTGTAGTCGAAGTAACCATTAGCCTTAAGAGCTTGGTGTACGTGCTTGAGTTCACTGGCTATGTGTTCCTGGTCGGATATGCATTGGGCTCTATGGTGCAGAGTCTTGATGAGGGAATTCTTCTGGGATGGATGGTGGTGGGAATCCGGTTTCAGGTAAGCATCCGTATGGGTAGCTTTCCTTTTAGTCAAAGTGGCTCATTGAACCATCAGGTCTCTTTTTTTTATTAGGACATCCAAAAAAGGTAGCTTGCCATCTTTTTTGATAAACCATTTCGGGTCTTAATTGATTGTTCACGCTTACGGTGGCTTTCAGACCACATCCATTATTTTCGACTCCCCACTCCTCTTTTCCGAACATAGATGGACTCGTCCATCTGAACAAACTGTCAAATCGCTCTCCGTGGTGCTAACGTTAAAAAAACGCCACTTTTTTCAAATTTTCTTGCTGTGGTTTTCACACCTGACAATGATTGCTTGTGTTGCAGTCGAAACGTCGTGAGAATTTTATTGTTTTATATTTTTATTAATTTATTGTTTCCCTTCTACGTGACTTTACCTAAAGAACCAAGAATATGAATCCCTGCAGTCACGCAAGCTTTAAATCAAAACTCTCCAAGGTGTTCGATTGTTTGTCCTGCTTTGGGGGCATTTTATTCGCCGACCATGCTCGGATTACAGTGCTTTTCTATTGACAGTTAAACGTTATTCGTCTTTTGAAATGAATGCTCATTAATGTTTGCTGCATAAATAACATCTCGAGGGTCCCCTCGAGAGGTCCCAGTAGTGGCGTTAGCAAGCAATTGAACTAAGTCAAGTGAGCACTATTCGTTACTAAAAAAAAAGTTATTTTCTCTTCTAAGGACACCTTAGCTATAATCGCGTACCAAACCTATATCCTGTGTCAAGGGATTTCCGAGTGTTCCACCCCCTTGGCTGTAGCGCTGTTTTAGCTTGGTGCTTTCGTGCCCAATCGATGGCTCACATTCGTCTACATATACATTTAAGAATACAAATAAAAAAGTGCCTTTTTTTACTTTCAATGGAAACTCAATTTCCTCCGATCCCCTCCCACACGATCTCCGTGTGAGACCAGGGTTGAACCGTGGTGGGTTTGTTGGGGTGGTGTTTTTTTTTAGAAGAAGAAGCTTGGAGTCATGCTTGATGTCGCCGTTTCTGATACCGACGCTGGGAACTCGAATCGCACGAACTGGTGAGCGCGTGATGCCAAATCGGCGAGTCAGAATTGTCACCGCCTTCCAGATGTTAATATTACTGACATACCTGAGCTGACTGCATCACGAATTGCATAATGTCCACGACAAGTTGTAGTTTCCATAATTGTAGGTTTCAATTAAGGTGTGTGCTAAAATAGCGGCATTTGATTATGGAATTTGGTGAAGGAACTAATATATTTGTAGTAAAATATTTAAGCAGTTGGCATTTGGCTCCAAATCGCTCGTAAGATGCTCCCACTTTCCAGAAGTGTTGATTTTTGTAAAGCTTGAAATTAAACAATGAAGAGGGAATTCCTCTGTCAACTAACGACTTCCATGAGACAAATACATGACTGAGGTGGTATTATGGCCAGATTTTCTGATGGTGTGCCCTGTTCATGTTGTGGTCCAGTAATGTCACTCCTGAATGAAGCTGGACACTACTGCTGTACACATTTGACTGCATCAGGCAGTTGGCTGGACAATCGGTTGGACCGCCAAATAATCAGGTCATAGTCGCACAATCCAAACACAAATTTCCACGTGACCACAGTGGGCTGCTTTGGCTTGGCACGATGTATTCTCTCAACTATGTTTTTCAATCACTCCAACACAATGTAATGAAGAATGCACTTTGCAAGTTTACAGGTTGCTCAGGTATGTTGTGTATGTCTCTCGGGAGGGATGCTTGTACCAGCTTTCTCCTAAGTTAAAGAATTTCAATGTTGGGCGTTTTAAAAGGAAAGTGTATATTTTAGCAATATAATTTTTTGCAATATGTTATTACCCCCCTTGTGCTCTAACTCTTGAGTTGTAACCAATAAAGATTGTATAAAGACTATGAACAATAATATTTTGTCTTTACCGGACTGAACCCATTTCTTCCCTGTAATCCTAAAAGCATTCTCTTCTTCTTTGGTTCTTTCGGTAAAGTCACGTAGAATGAGAATAAAATAATACAATAAAAATAAGACAATGAAATTCTCACGACGTTTCGGCCACAACACAAGCGGCCTTCTTCAGGTGAAAGAACAGAACTGTCGGGACGACAGTGCTTCAATAAATACAATTTTCACGACGTTTCGGCCACTACACAAGCGGCCTTCTTCAGGTGAAAGAACAGAACTGTCGGGACGACAGAGCTTCCATTTTGAAGCACTGTCGTCCCGACAGTTCTGTTCTTTCACCTGAAGAAGGCCGCTTGTGTTGTGGCCAAAACGTCGTGATAATTTTATTGTCTTATTTTTATTTTATCATTTTATTCTCATTCTACGTGACTTTACCGAAAGAACCAAAGAAGATGATTGCCTGCAGTCACGAAAGCTTTAAATCGAAATTTAAGCATTCTCTTGTACTGTATGTGTATATATATACAGACATGCATAGTGTGGGGAGGGTGGCGCAGTGGTTATCGTGCTGCACTACGGACCCAACGACCCCAGTTCGATTCCCGCTCACGCCACCAAGATCAGTGATCA